ACTGGGAATCTGCTCACACCCTGAAATTGGATTAATCTCCCAATATTCCAGACTGGAAATCTGCTCAAGCCCTCCACTGGATTAATTTCCCCCTTTTCCCAGCAGGGAAATGATTCCAGATTGGAATTCTGCTCTAACTCTCCACTGGGTTAAATTCCCCTCTTCCTAGCAGGGAATTCTGTTTGGAATTCTGCAGCTCAGCCCCTCCCCTGGATTAATTCCCCCTTTCCCAGCAGGAATTTAATCCAGATTGGAAACCTCCTGCTCAGATCTGCAGCCCAGCCCCTCCCCTGGGTTGATTCCCCCTTTCCCAGCAGGGAAATTATTCCAGATTGGAAATCTGCTCAGATCTTCCCCTGGAATGATGTCCAGTTTTCCCAGCAGGGAATTCTGTTTGGAATTGTGCAGCCCAGCCCCTCCCCTGGGTCGGTTCCCTTTGCCGGGGTGGGATCCTCAGCCCGTGCTGAGCCTGTCGTGCTGTGTCCCCAGCTCGGTCACCGAGGTGCAGTGGGAGGCCGAATTTTTCAGCCTCCAGGACAACAACTCGAGGCTGGTGGCCGCCCTGCACGAGGCCAACGCCAGCGTGGAGCAGTGGAAGAAGCAGCTGGCAGCGTACCAGGAGGAGACAGAGACCCTGAGGCACAGGGTGAGCCCCAAAAACCCCCGGGCTGGAATCCCTGGGGGGTTCTCCTGGGAAACACAGTCAGATTCCACAACTGGGGAAAAAATACTGGAGAGAAGTGGGGGGAAAAGCTGATTATTGAACAGGAAAATGAAGGCACAAATATCAGAGTTTGTGGCCAAAAAGGAGACAGAGGAGTCCTGTGACTTTATTGGAATAAAGGGAGAGCCCATGGTCATTCCCCTCCAATTTTTGAGGACTCACCTCCCTTTTTGTCCCAATTTCCCTCTCTCTTTCCCCACTGGCCGAGGCACTTGAGAGCTCCAGACTTCCCCAAACCCCTCAGATTCCCCTCTAAGGTACAACCCTCCCTTTTAATTTTTAATTCCTGTAGAATCTGCTGTGATTCCCAAAATCCATCCCTCAGGATTCCCTGGGCCACGGCAGGATCTCAGAAGGAAACATCTCAATTCTTGTCCCTAAATCTGAGGATTTTGGGGGATTCTGGCCCCACCCTGAGAGCTCCAGAGTTGGGATTGTCCTGATCCTGGTCCTGGCAGCCCCAGATCTGGATTTGTCCTGTTCCACATCTGGGTTTGTCTTATTCCTGATCTGGGTCTCTCCTGTTCCACATCAGGATTTTTTCCTGTTGCACATCAGGGTTTTTTCCTGTTCCAGGCTCTCTCCCTGTCTGGGTGAGCTCCTTGTCCACAATTCCACCTCTCCTGCTTCGATCCCAACTCTGACTGAAACCGGGAGAACCAGGAGGGAAAAAAAAAAAGAAGATTAAGCAGGAATAGTAAATAATAATAACAGTTAATAATGCTGATTGGCCTGGCAGGTGGCAGAGCTGGAGTCCCAGGGCACTCAGGATTCCTCCAGTGACAACAACAAGGAGGAGCTGGGCCAGAGCCTGGAGGAGCTGGAGCTGCTGCTCAAGGCCAAGGACGAGGTAAATAAATAGAATTTATAAATTTATAGATAGAATTTATATGATGTGAGACCTGAGAGCCCTCCCCATTCCCAAATAAATACATAGAATTTATATATTTATTTATAGATATAATTTATAAGGTAAGGACAAGGTGAGGATCTGAGAGCCCCTCCTCATTCCCAAATATCATATTCCCAAAAAATAGACACAATTTATAT